TGCAGGTTTAAGGCACAATTCAGGGAATATACAGGGAAGCAAAGTCAAACAGCCAAGACAGGGGAGGTGGGTAAAGCAGAGAACGCCAAGACCAGAAAACAAATACTAAGACTACGCACCAGGGAATACAGCAACAGGTATTAACAGCACAGGAAGTTGCAGTCTAACAGGTGGTACTGATTATCCTCCGTATCGTATTGTCACGCTTCCTAACTGCGTAAGCGCTATTGGTGGTGGTCCTGTGGTGATTGCCTGTTCTCTGGCGAGCAAGGGGATATCGACACGGTAGACTGTTGTAAAGGGCTCTGTTCTGCCATCTTACTGACTTGGCAACCTGTTTGATTTCCAGAGTGGGTGTTCGTGGGGGTGGTCATTCTGGGCGGATTCACCTTTATCCTGTTTGTGGGAATCTGCTGGTGCCAGTGCTGCCCTCACAGCTGCTGCTGCTATGTGCCCTGCCCCTGCTGCCCGGAGACGTGCTGCTGCCCCCGACACTGTGAGTAGACCTCTGCCCCGTCGCCTGGACTCTGCCCACCCGTAACCAGCACTAGCAGGAAAGCCTGCTTTTCTTTCAGGAATGTACCATACCATCACTTATGCTACTGGAACGGCTGCTGAAACTGTAGATGTTTGTGCTGAGAGAGATTGATTTACTGATGTCCTTCAGCAAAATCAAACTTCTTTATAATTCCTGCACACTGATAACACACTATAAACAGCCTCTGAGGATCCAAAGAAGGATAAGGATGCACAGAATACATTTCGGGGAAAAAATAATTTCCTGCATGTAGGAATGCTAATTCCCGTTGCACCTTGTCGGTCAGACAGGTGGTGTCAGTCAGTGAATGACGTGGTCATTCAAAGGACCCTGCACTTATTTCAGACCTTACTTATGATTCTTGCAAGCCATTTGTGAATTTGTCAAATTATTTTTTAAGCTATCCTTTACTCGTGCCTTTGGAATTTCGCCGTTCTGTATTTGATAGAAGTGTCATTGGCGCCTGTGTATTTTGTCTGTTCTTGCATCCGATTAATTGTGTAGGCCAGGAAGCCAGGACCACTTCACTGCCATGCAAAGTACTGAACAATTAAAAATAATGAGAATATAAGTGATTTTTCAGCTTGGTTTCACTGATAGCCTGAGCACTGTTTAATTGTATGTTGTTTTTTGTACTCTGTTGCTAGTGTATGAAGCTGGAAAAGCAGTGAGGACTCGTCCAGCCCAACAAATTGCCACTATCTACCCACCTTACTATGTGTCGAATGTGCCCATGGTTCCCATTGGGCCTCCAGCCTTGATGGATCCGAAGGTGGCTGCGCCAACCATAGAGAACAGTGTTGCAGGCGGTGAGTTAATGGCCGTTGCCACCCTCTGTCCACTGTCAATGTCCTGGTTTGTCAGGACTTAGTAGGTGTCAGTTTTCTCTTTTCAACAAATGGTGAAATAGTCTTTTAGTTTCTTTCTTTGTTAGTTTAACTTGTCTAGAAGGAAGTTAGTTCTTTGTCCCCTTTTTTGTTGCTGCTCTGTGTTCTGGTGTGTTGCTGGTCCTGCAGAGACAGAGCCTTCTGTGCTGCTACTGGAATCCGAAGAATGAGGGCTCTGCCAGACCTGTGGAGTCTGGAGTGTAGCTGCCACTCATAACTGAGCTGTAATATGAAGCAAAATACATGTGCTTCTAAAGGAGCCTTAATATATTCTCCTCAAGGTGGAATTGGTGCATTTCAGTGTCACTCAGGAATTGAATTACTCGGGTGTCTGAATTCAGAACACTTTCAGTTCGCATTTGTGTTACTTAGCTTTGACAGCATTATTCTTGACAGCACCGAGGCAAGCATTATGAGCACCAGTGCAAATATCAAAGTGTGTTTACAGAATATTCTACACTGTATGAAGTCATAAGAAATGTGCTGCATGATGTTCAACGTCTCAGTAGCTTTGACACAACATGTTCAATGGCGTCAGCTCCAGCAACACAGAGATGAACAAAAGCATGAAAATTAAACCTGGAAAGGTCAAAGCAGTCCCAACACTACATGTCCTTTTTAGTTACTTCCAGTAGAATTAGGAAATTATTTATGTGTAAAGAAATTATATATAAAACCCTGTATTTGAAATTACAATAACTTGATAATATTTAGTTCTGTGTTTGAAAATTTAAAGCTAAGACGTATTATGTTCAGAACAAATGAAGGTTTGTTTTACTTCTTGGGAGAAGAAACTCCCTTTTAAATGTAAGAGGAGTTCTCCTTCACCAGAACTAAAATAGGCTCTTAGTTCAAGGGCTTTTATGCATCTGATGCAACCAAATGTTGTTCATAAGCAGTTTGAGACCTAGAAATTTGAGTACAGTATGTATATTGTGTACAGAAAGATATATATTATCATGTAAACATAATGGTAATGGTTAAGATTTCAATGATATAACAAAGCTTTCCCGCAACTAAAATCACTCCTTCCTATTTTGACTTCTCATACTAAAATTGCTTTTAAAAGCACTAAATTGCTCATTATTATAGTTATTTTTTCTGTTTTTATTGTATTCTCTTTAATCAGATTATCTTTTTTTTCAACAGGTGAAAAACTAGGGATCTTATTTTGATCTGAAACTAAATACTATTTACTGTAAATATCACCAGATTAATTCATACAATGTGTCAGCTTAATTGCTAAATGAATTCCCTTAAGACAGTGGTTGAACAGTGCATTATGTTCCCTAAAAATTCCCATTTCTGTTCTGTCCTATTTTAGTTTCAGTCGTGTCTAATGATGTAAAATGAGTCATGAAAATCAATAACATACTTTCTGTTTGGGAGAAGTTGCACCATCATGCTCCTCTACCGAGTCAAATTTGTGAGACGATCTAAACAAAACAAAATTGATTTTTTTCTTTGTTACTTAATTAATTTTCAAATACAAAAAAAAAATGGTTCCATAAATTTCCACACAAAATGTCCTCCAAGCTTCCTGGAGAAAGTAATCCTGTAGGATTCTGAGGTAGTCCTGCAGAACTGCTTCAGTTATGCAAGATTGCTTCCACTAAAAATGAATGGTCTTCTGGAGGGTGAAAGCTAATTTAAAGCTAGGTATATTCATTCGCATTTATGGCAGAAAAAAAGGAGTAGTGGGATATTCCAGGCTATAGGCTGTATTTCTGACCTCTTAGTTGTCTCTTGTTCTGTCAGCAGTGTCCAGTGGGTACCACATCCAGGCCAGTAAGGAACAGGACTCTATGAAGGCTCTGTACTACATAGAAAAGGAGATTGCACAGTTTGATCCTGCCAAAAGAGCATATGAGAAATGTAAGCCTTCAGTCATTTCAGTACGCTGTGCTTTGTCTTGTGTTCTAGGACAAGAGTAGGGAGTACAACTACAGACTTGCTTCCATCGGCTTTGGAGCTTGACTGAACTATGTCATTTAAGAAAACGCATCTGTGTTCCCTCAAGCATGCTTCCTCCAAGCAGGCTGTGGCTGCTGAACAGTATAATCCATTAATTTCCTCTGGGTGGTACTTTTTATTGGCTTCTTCTGAATCGGACATCAGATGACTTCGCTTTCCACTCAAGGGAAAGCAGCACAATGCAAATAAAGATCTTACTCTATTCCAAGTCTCGGATTCAAACAGAGCTACAGCTCTGCCATTGATCTAACATGCATCTCTTCCACTCGCAGTGTCCACAGAGCAAAGTGGTTTTCAATCAGTCACAGAAAGACAATCAGATGGCGGAACTGGCAGAGATTTTGCTCGAGGCAGGGGGACAAATAATAAAAAATGATAATGCCCTGCGTTTTAATGTTTCAGTGCCAGTTAAGTATGACAGTAATTATAGTACGCACTTGCTAAACAGTTCTCCATTCTTTTGAATTATGTACATTCATCTAAGGTTTATAGAAAACAGCTCATCTAGCCACTACAGTTTCCTGCAACTGGTTTCTTGAAACGTGTCTTCCTCTTGTCTTTGTCACTGGCAATGCACATCTAAACCTGGGCAGTAGAGGAGATGTTATATATTCATGAGAAAAACATTAAAACTTGCAGTAAAAACAAATGTGTTTTTATGCATTTTATTTTTAATATTAAAGCAGAGAGGAGCAGATAATATTGGGAGAAGGTTTCCAGATTTAAGAAAATACAAGATTGTTCCTTGTAGCAAAGGAAGATTAAGGGAATGGTGGTTTGCTTTGTACCCAAAATATAAGTGGAGACATTGGGAGGACATTATTTTACTCTGCTGAGTCTGGGTAATACCTCTGAGAGAGTCACATTTTCCCCGATGTTAGGACGACTGTACTCTTACATTTTCCCCTCTACTGAAATTTAAAAATGAAGATGGCAGATGATGCGTTGATGATGCTCTAAAATGCATTACTGAACAAATCTACTTTTGTGTCATAAGATGTAACCTCAATGTTAAATTCAATTATGGCAGATAAGCTGAGATGCCTGCTTGACCTCCCTGTTATTCAATTCAAAATACTTTATTCTTCCCCAGGGGGGAGATTTAAGACGTTATACAACAGGATGGTGTCTCTCTTCGTGCGGGTCTTCCCCTAGAGGCCTTAGTTGGAGAGTTAAGCAGCCATCGTTCATGTTACGGGAGAAAGAACGTTGTGTTTTATCTTGACAGCCACCAGCTTGTCGGAGCTCAGCTCTCTGCACGAAGGAGACGCCGATTTCCGTCGCTCCTACCACAAAGTGCAGAGAAACGCGCTCCCAGCCATCGCTGACCGCGACGAAGAGTCGGAATTCAGGTCTGCTTCTGCCTCCCAGGGGCGCCGATCTGCGCGGTACCCCCTCCAGGCAAACAGGTCCGAGGAGCAGTACCAGAGCAGGTACACGCCAGAGGAACTGCTGTTAATCACAGAACAGGGGTCTTTGCTTTTCATTCTTGTGCTCCCCTCTTGTAACACCATGCAAGAGATCAATCAATCGCAGACCTTTGCCTGTTTTCAGTGCATTTCTTCAATGAGGCATCAGTGATGATGCACAGGAAAAAGACCTACTGTTGACAAATATGATAACCTCCTGCGTTTTACTACACCCTCCAGTACATAACTTTTATCTCTGTATTTTTTTAACGTTTACATGAGTAACAATCGGCTCTTGCTTAAGATACTTCCTAAAAACGTTCTTTGCTTTAAACAGACAGTCACTGTATTGGGTAGACGGTGAGATGACTTCATGCTAAAGCTTTAAGGGCAGGTCCACTGGAATAAAGTACAAGAACCAACGATGAAGATTCATACAGCCTGAAGAGTTAAAGTAGAAGATTTGGATTTACATCTTGAAGCTGTGTGTAATTCATTTGCAGTTACAGTAGCTTCTTATTCCTTCACTAACTTCAGTTATAATCTGTTTTAATTTTACCGGTTTTTGGCATGCAGTGAAAATCACCACAATGCCTTCTTTAACTGGTTTGGAATCTCTCCCGATTCCCTGTCCAGTGCTGCTAAATGAAGACTCTTTTTTTTGTTTCCGCCCCGGTGGCCCTGTGACAGCAGGTGGAAGCCCAGATCGGAGCACCTCCAGAGAAAGTCTATGCGGTCGAGCGGCCGCACGGGCTCCCTGGACGAGCTGGAGGAGTTCGCCCAGTCCTACGACCAGAGGCTCAAGCGGGGCGACTACAGGGACGCCGAGCGGGACTACAGGCCGGCCCTTGAGGATAGGGATCCCTTCCGCACCTCCCAGGACCACGGGCGTTACCACGACGGCGAGCGCCCGCGCCGCGGGGCGTCCGCGGACGATTACTACCGCAAGGGAGAGCGGGGCGGGTACGAGCCGGAGCGGAGGTGGCCGCCCAGCCCCCCCTCGCCCAAGAAGAGGGAAGCAGGCGGGCGCTACTCTCCCCACTACCTCACGGGCAGCAGGAGCTACGACGGCGCCTACCTGACCAGCGTCCTGGAGAGGAAGGCCCGGGGGAGGGCCCCGGAGGAGAGCTTCGACAGCGAGACGCCCTCCAAGTCCAGCTCCAAGAAGAGCAGCGACTGCCTCTACAACCGGTCCCCCAGCTGCAGGCCGGAGGAGGAGGACTCCCTGCCCCCTTACTCGGAAGGAGAGGCCGACAGGCACCACACGGTGGCCTCCTCAGCAAGGCCCTTCTCCTATATTAGGGATCCTCAGTGCAGCTCTTACACACTGCATGACAGGAGGGAGGAGAGGCAGAAGCTCAGGAAAGTGGTGAGTTATATGTAGCTCTGGTCAGTTAATGAATATATCAGCTGCCCTACTGATAACCTGTCCCCGGTTGATTATACTATCCTCGATGGCAGATCACCAGTAATATCTACTGTGCACCCCGTTGATTACATGGGAGGAAGAACACATTTTTGACGGGGCTGTTAGTCAGTGAAGCGCCCGAGTTTCCATCTGATCTAGCTCTAAAACCCATTAAGGCAACAGTGCATGTGTAGAGCATCATAACGTCATGGCACTGGCTTTTGCGCATGAGGCGTGGCATGTAACATGGCTTCAAAATGACAATACTTCATAATACCTTTCATTTTCGAAGGTTCCTTCCTGAAAGTAACATCCGTTTCATGTACTAACAATACATGCTTTTGTCAGTGTTGCTGTAATGTGTGATGGGTTACCTTGAGCTGGTCAAATTCTTGAGATCTGATAGAATGCTAATTGATTCTTTGCTAACCTCTGGATTTTGATATTTTCACAGAGCACACTCCTAAGTAGGGATTCCATTGTAGTGTGAGCTCTGAATCTGCAAGAGACTATGAAGGTTTTTTATGCGTGTTGCATTCAACAGTGGAGCCCGTACCGGAGGGGAACTCATGAAAATGATGCGGAAACGCATGTGAAACTGAGAACTGGAGGAGTGCTTTTACGCAAAGTGTTTTGTGGGTGTCTTGAACACGGGACCTAGCCCAGCTGTTGAAGCTGATACCCAGACTTCTTTCAAGAAACGACCGGATGAGATTCTCGGATCAGTTCGTTCCTAGCGTTTGCAAGAGCTGGAGGGCTTAATTCATTTCTTCAGTAGCTCTTGTTGTTTTCAAATCAGCGGAGTTGGAATTTGCAGTTATCTTTGTCCATATATGGGATTTTTGAGAAGGAGCTTCAGGCCGATTCCTCACATCAAAGCACTGAACACAGTCAACCAAGGTGCTGTCCACTTTGATAAGTCCACTGAAGCATATAGACCCAGCTCCCCACAAACGTAACGAGGTCATCTTCGGATGTCTGGGCAGGTTGGTGATGCTTCTGATTGTATGGAGCAGCAGGAAGAAACAAAATACAGGAAAAGCCTGTCTGAATATCCTGCTGGGTGGAAAAAGGAAATGCAACTTTTGTTTTCTGGCATGCGCTGAATAACGTTTAGAACCAGGCGCAAGCCTGCCAGCCTCAGGGTTATTGAATGTCTCCTGCTGTTTTTGCTTTCTGTGAGGCCACAGTCCCACGCGTGTCAGCTCATCGCAGTGAGAGCACGGCCGAAGATCTTAACGCTAAAGTCACGAGGGGCGGATGTCACATACCATCACGAAACGTCTTTTCCTCTGCTCTAGCTTTGCCTTCTGGATCAGGGAATACTGTATGCTGTGTGGAAATGGAAAACTCAATTGTGTATGACAACATACATACAGCATGTGACACCGACATATTAGAGATGTATCGTACAAGGTATTATAATAAAATGATGAATGAAACTTAAAATGAAATAAAAATACATAACTTAAAAATAGTTTCAGTTCCACCCCCACTCCCCAAGACTTGCTTTTTTAAACAGCCGATGAGAATCGGAAACAACCAGCGAACCCATAGGACCTGCTATTAAAACTAATCACTAGGCTGACGGTAGGTTTGTAAAAAAAAGTCTATTCTCAGCCTTTCATTTAACTGAGGTTCAGTGAGAGGTTGTGCTACTTCATTATGAGAACATTGTGCCCTCATTTTGTTCACTAGGAGTGCAGTCTTGTTTCATTTAGTGTATTTATTGCAATGAAAATGAAGCTTTGGTGAGCATGTGCCATGAATCATACAGTTACAGTATAGTTTTTAATTGCGTTCACCCAGCAAGAAGCTACTGAGTGTCAAAAGCTTTGATTCTCCAGACGTATTTGTAGTTCACACCATACGAAATTATTCCAGCAATGCGGTATCTGTCTAGGGGTGATTTTATAGTTCTGGAAATTACTGCACAACTTATAAAGGAAAGTGAGAGCAGTACTGCAATAGCAATAATTATAAATGCTATAGCAGCTGATTTTCCACTTTTAAGACCCATTTCACCACTTTACTGCACTGATTTAATTATTTCCCATTATTATGCATTTTTGAAAACGCTGCTTTGAGGGGGGAAAAAGAAGCACCCACATGCATGTGTTCTGTAACTCACATTTAGCGTCACAGTGCTACGTGTGACATGTGATCTCTGCTATGGTCTAGCCAACCACTAGACCGAAACTCCACAGTGGCCCTACAGTATACACTGTTATTGCCTGATCCTTGCACAGTGCATTCAGCAATCTTCCTGGGATTATCTTTCTGTACCAGGTTTGTAGTTTCACAGGCAAGAAATGGTGATCTGGCCATATAGTGTGTTGGCATTGACAAGGCATAGACAGGGCAGCACTAAAATGTGATTACTCCGCTTCTATTTGGCCTGTGTTCTCTGTATTGATAATAAGAACCGTTACCCTAGGTAAATAAATCATCTTGTGGTTCCAGAGTAAAGAGGCTTTCCTTTGAAACCTTTGGCTCGTGTACTTTCCTTCATTTCACTGGCCCTCCTCCTGTTTCTGTGACACAGACTCGTACAGTATGAACGTTGGAGTCAATGAGCATAAAGCAGGGTTTTTTTTTTTTATCTGACTTGCGCTGAGTAACCTGATCTCAGGCCAGAAAATGGGTTTACCAGACTAATCCTTTGCACATGGCACCTCCTGCTTCTTCTCTGCTTCATTTCCTTCTAATGCATAACAATGACATTCAGCTTTTAGTCATCGGTGACTTACATGCCTTCTATATTTGGTGCCTTTTCTTTCTAAATTACCAGGGCTGGCAGTTTAACCAATATAGCTAATGGATTAGTCTTTGGGCTCATGTTTTATGTGCCTTTTTGAAAGGCTTGAGAAGTAATTGCTTTGTTCCATCACTTAACATGAAGCACAAAATTGTTTTCATGGGCACTGAAGGGAAACACATTTAAGCCTAGCTCTTCAGTGTAGTTTGATATCTGTTTTTGACTGGTTGTTGAAGATTGGTTTGCATTTATAATGTAAGGTATTACTCACAGGGGTGGCGTAGTGGTGCAGTGGTCAGTCCCGGTGTCCCAGGGTTCAGTTCCAGGTCTGGGGTGCTATGTGCGTGGAGTTTGCATGTTTCACCCCGTGTTCATGTGGGTTTCATCTGGGTGCTCCAGTTTCTACTTTCTGGTACAGGAGGTTAATTGGCTTCTGGGGAAATTGGCCCTGGCACCCCGACGACGCTGTACTGGATAAAAAATAAATGAATGGTTGGTCCTTACAAATGAAAGGAGGATGTTAATTTGTAACTCTTATGTTCTAAATTTCATTTTGTTCACGCTTTAACATTCTGATTAAGCTTGGAATCGCTCAGCCATGTATCTGTCACTCTCGTCCTGGGCCTCAATCAGGAAAGCTCCTATAGTGCTAAGAAACATCTCGATAAAAAGGAAGGACAGGAAATGAAGCACCACATTTACAGAGCACGACTGGGAGCATCCAGGAAGCCCTGCACGTGCAACCATCTAAATTTTAAAATGTCTGACTTTTTTTGCAGTTTTCTAAAGTATAATAAAGAAAGAAGTGAGGAGGTTAAGGACGTGCATATGCACAAAACACTTCAGCTGGATGTGTCCAACGCCTGTGCTAGTTTGCTCAGATGTAAAACAGGCATAAAGACCTTAGATCCTTAGAGTCCTCATGAGGTGAATATTGAGCATGAACACAGCATACAGCACAGTGAGCAGCTATATCTGCTATACAAAAATCCCACTTCTGCATTTTTCAATTGGAGCCCCTCAGCTGGCCTTTAGTCTGTGTGGACTCACAAGTTTCTTAATTTTATTACCTTCGCTTGTATCCTATACTTCCCACCACCTTCACAGTCTCTGCCTCTTCCCTTCCTTGCATATCATATGCCTAGAAAATGTTTGTTCGCTAGTCCTGTGCTTAACATCCTTAACATTAGTGAGCATGAGCTTGGGGTGGTTGCATGAGCCAATGGGATACTGCTTAGATTTGCCTTTTTTAGTTGTTTTCTACATCCTTGGAAGGAGACGCTGCTGAATTTATGAGCAACATACACACAGAGGTGATGATATGGCAAAACAACACTTCTTGCATTGGGAGATTACCTCAGATGGTAAACAAAACCTTAACTCTTATGATCCTTAACTATACTTCTATGCTTCTTCAGTCCCTATTTAAACATGCAGCTAAACTGCTTACTGATACAATTACAAATTTACTTTTCCTCAGGCTGAATTGATGTCGGACCCTCAGAAACTTGTTCATTCCCTTGTCCCCACGTCCTGCTTCTTAATGCATGATACCTGGTTGCACCTTCTCAGAGGTGCTGTTCTCTCCACTCTCTCCTTTAAAGGTCTGTGGGTCTTGCTGCGTTCACTTGTCTTTCGCTTGTTCTTCTGCTTTCTGCTCATGCTGATGCTCTGCATTCCTGGGGGATCTGCTCTCTGTCTCTCATGGCAAGTGGGACACGCTGGGCTCTCTTCACTCCCTGTGCTCCAGCTGGTCCGGTGAGCACGGGTGAGAGGTCATTCCCCACTGGTTTTATGGGAATCTCTCTGATGCCGGAACCTTCTCCCTTCTGTCATCCCACCCCCCTGCCACAGGTCACTAGAGTCTGAATATTCCTAGAAAAACAGAGAGGTTGGCTCGGCCATAAAAGGCCCATAACTGGAGAGCAGATTAAGACTTGTTGTCCAGATGTCTCGTTAATTGACCACTGCGCAGGGCTGTCCAGGTGGCAGATTGAGCCCTGCGGGGGCTTGATGAGTTTCTTTGGCTTCTCGAGCAGGATGGACCTGCGAGGTGCCTGTGAAATTGCAGCGACTGCAGTGAGAGACGAACACCTGAGGGCTGACAGGTGGGATTATAGGACGTGTCGGAGAGTGCAGTGAAGACCTCTTTCTCCCTGTCGTCCCCATTCTCTAAGAGTCCACACTGGCTGGATAGAAATGAAAAAATATATAAATATAACAATTCCAACTGCAGCCTGTCTAATAAGCAACAAGTCACATGTATAAATATAAATATCTATACTTCCTTACCACGATTGCAAGATTTCTTGCAAACATTGCGATTCTGTGCATTATTTGAGGATTGTGCACCGCTACTCCAGTCAGTACTGTACTGTCCAAGCTTTCTTTCTTATCTCACGAAAGGCCTTATCATAAAAACCACAGAGCACACTTTCACCCAACCCGACCATTTATTTAACACCAGATAAAGAACTTTTATCTTCTTGAGTGTTGATAACAGTGATCTACAAATGAACCTTAATGAAATGATATATTTACACAGGTACATGCGACAGCTCATATTATTGCAAACCTTTCTTCAGATGGCACACCATTTGTTCCTCTCCTGCTTTGGTTCATGTTTTTCTGATACATACTGTATTTGTCACGATTAACCAAGTGTTTTCTTGGCTTTAATACTGAATATTATATTGTCCTTTTGACAACTTAATGTAAACATTTTGTTTGAGATTGTCCAAAGTGCACTTTTCACAGGATGGGTCTTAGTGGTCTAGTATAAAGAGTAGACCTCTCACAGAGGCAAGTTGATTAGATTTCAGTGAATTACAAGGTACCTGCAAACTGGAGCACAGTGCATCACCTTGTGTATCCCTCCTGATTTAACACATGAGGGTAAGGATCAATCATCCCCATAGTCTGGAGTTTCATCGATATGGGACTCTCCGCGATACATTACCACCTGTGGTGTTCGCCCTAAAACTCAGGTGTTGACCTGCTGGAAAGAAGCTGCTTTCGGAGGAGACGTCTAAACCGTTCACCATTCTGATCTCTCTTTGTGTGACAGCACACATACGGGTCTTCAATAATGAGCCGTCCTGACTAGTGCAGCATGGAAAGCAAAAGAGATGCTTGCGCTCGAGGAGTCGGATTTCCAATCTGTTGTCTAAATTACCTCAACAATCCCTCATTATTTGTCCCACTCCATCCCCTCCTGCTCTCAGGACAGCTTTGTTTATACAAGGGTAGGGCTTCAGTCTAAATATATACATTCTGTCTTGGGTTTCATTTGCCAAACGAAGTTTGCTGAACACTGTTGTGGGAATTATGGCTTTTATTTTTGTATGTTTATATATATATGCTTCTTTTTATGCTTCTGTTAGATTTAGGTTTATGCTGATGCGTTAGAGACACACTTGCCAGGTTGCTAGTAGCAACCTGAAAATTCATTGTGAAAATCTAGATTTGCTGGTCTGCTGACAGATGCACATAATTATTTTAAAGAAATACATCTGCAAAGGTTGCCCTATAATTTTCTATAATGCCGATACTTTTACCTGCTTATGAAGTGCTAATTCCTGATGTTGCAACACCTGATCTGGACTCAGTTTTCTGTTTTCTCCTTCACTGTGAGATATATTCCTAGAATATCCAGTATATCTATGTTCTTTACACAGTATGCTTACTTTAAAGAAGCTCTCGAGGTCAACCTTACATCAACCATATTCTTCTTTGTTCAGTTTCTCTTCTCTTCGTAACTGTACGTGTTGTAAAAGTACAGTTCGTGTAACTCCCATACCTTTTCACTGTTCAGCAGTCAGAGATACTGGTTTAAATTTTGTGAGCGATGTTCATAATGTTACCTCTGTTTAGATCGTTTCCTCCGTTCAGACCAGTTTCTGAAGCCACTTTTGCAAACCGATTGCAGGGTAGAAGATCTGGAAGGGAATCGCGTTAGCAGTGCCTGGAGATGTGAAGTCCAACAGTCGGGTTTCCTGTGACTGCCTTTGTATCAAACCAAATAAAGTCCATGATCACAGATCACAGTTCAGACTGGGGAACCTCCTGAACTTGAGCACCTTGCTTTGTACATCACAGCATGACTCGGAGGTACCAAATTCCAGGGAGGCTGGAGAACGGCTGAGTAACTGTCGCCGACACATCTTTCAGCCTTTTGCCACTGTTAAATGTGTTTGCCTTCTCTGAATTTAAGAAGCAGCCCGTCTTGTAAGCCATAGCATCTGGGGATGTACTGTATTGCCAAAGGGCAGCACTCTGAGCTTCGTGTTGCCTGAGACTGTGGATTTTTTTTTGTTTGCTTTGTGTAACATGAAATTCTAAATAAAAGGATCTAATGTCTTATTTTTTTAATAGTTTAAAAATGGTTGTACTCGCCGTCCCATTAAGAATTGCAGTCATTACGATGCTCATATATCCCTTTGTGATATCTTCACGCTTGTTTCTGTTGCCATGGAAGGGTGCCAGAGGCGAGAGATTGCTGTATCACTTGATCATAGCCATTTACTGAAGTTACACCACTGTTTTCATCTCGATCAGTGTTTTCCTGTTATCCAGGTCTTAATCATTGAGTGCTGATTGTGAACTGATGCAGCAATTGATCTTCTAATTGTAATGTTTATTATACAAGAATCGCTTTATGTGTATCCTGAATCACAAAACCATTACTGAAACAAGAGCTTTAATTTACAATATACATTTCCTGCTCTT